GTTGAGGTTAAACGCACCTAATCAAGCTACTGGACTTGACTTGACTATGTAACACTCCGATCACGATTTCGAACTCACAGACTTCTCCGATTACGCAAACACACGATCTCTCAATCTCTCACGAACGATTATGAAAGATAACGCAAAGAGAAAAGCAAATAAATGACACAATAGAGTTTTACCCAGAGCTTCGCCTTCGAGGTGAAGAACTACTGCTCTGGAGCNGATCTCGAATCAGCAATCCACTATCAATGAAGGATTCAAGCTCTCAATGTTCAGAGAAGCTCGAGGAAGAAGATGTTTGTTGTAACGTACTAACAGCTTAACAATTTAATCTCTTTATAGATGAGAGATTAAAACAGCCATAGAACCGGGAAATCTCAGATTCAATCTAACCCCATAACCGGTAATAATCAGATTGAACCGAGTCCCTCTAGCTCTCTAAGAGTCTTTGACATGTTGACTCTTATACAAGCTAAAAACGTTGACCAAAGTTAAATCAATGTACAACATGATGCTACAAGAAGATCACCATCTTTGCCAAAAATGAAACGAGGAAGAAGCGGAATTCGAGTTTTTCGGGGAAGATTCGATTTCGGAAAGACGATTTGGTCTGGTTTGGATCTAGGTTCTTCTACTTTTGAATTGGAGGAAAAATTGGAGAAGATGAAGTTTTGAATCTAGAACCCTAATTAGATTTAACGACAAACGTTAATTTTTTTACGTTGAAAATTTTTAATCTCCAATTTACAAAGTCAACGCCAACTTCGGGAATAAAAGTGCAACCACAATAGTTGAGAAATAAAAGTGTTAATTGCAAATTCTTGAGAAATAAAACGACCATTTTTCTGCGCATTGGATGATTTTAAAGATCTCAATCCTACTTAAAAGGTTCTTCCTTATCTTACCACCCTCTTCACACAATTGTCTTCCTCATATGTGTTTTTTGGATTTCTATTATGGTTGATTAATTTTTGCAATGTGCTCTTTTAGAAAAAGCAAAGGAAAGAACAAGAAGGAAAAATGGAGATTTAGTTGTTTGACATTTTGATTTTTGTAGTAAGCCAAATTAAGTTCGTTTCTTTTATTCTATTATTTTTCTGTTATATTAATCCAATCAATTATATTACTTGAAAAGTGAGAATAAATCATAATAAAAATTGGGATGATTGATAACAAAATTATCTTTAATACGATTAATTAATAGAGATTATCATCCAACGCTTTATTCCTTGTTTGAGACGTAGAAAAAGCATCGTATAGAAGTATACGTAGTGGTTTTGTTTGAGAAATGTGAAATTATTCAAAAGTTTTTATTACAAAAATTTATCATAAATTAGTATAGAAAGAATCGAAGATTTGTTGCTAAGAATTTGGTCAGAATATTGGTCTTTCATACATTTCGTATGAAGTAACAAAAATGAATTTATGGGAATTAAGAAAATGTTTATTTGAGATTTTAAATGGTGATCCAC